TATCCTTGCACATAAAGTAATGAATTCTTGCTTTTTCATTTGCTTGTAAAAATGACAGGAAATAACAGGCCAAAATCCTTATCAAAATAATATTCTTAAATATAGTCAAGTCAAATATAGTTCCCATCAATTAGGAAAATACAGATTTGAGATCACCATTGCAGCCTTAATTCTGCTACATTATGCATTTATGTTATCAGGCTATCTTTAATTACCTACTGACATCTTAGGTTTTTTCCACCAAACAATGTGTCATTCAGTCGACTGGGTAAATGGTATTGGGAATAAATCATGTAGAGAACTAGTCTGTCGTTCGTAGTATCCTTGTCTCATATTTGTTGCCCTTAGTATGTATACAAAATTGTTTTAAAGTAAGATTTGGACTACTTATTGTAATTTTATGTAAATTAGATAAAGCCCTTTTCATCCTGAAAAAAGTCCACAAGCAATCCTTGATTGGACAAGTTTGACCTTCCCTATATCTGTAATTCAAAGAGACACACGACACCCAGCGGTTGTTAGAAATAACGCAGGAATGCAGAAGCCACGTAGAATGTGAAGATACTTACCACCATTCTCAGGTTGACAAAATTAAGATGCAACTAGAAAAATGACGACACGGGACAAGTTACAATCCATATTAAAGAGTCAGTAGGGATGGCCTTAACAGACTCATCACGAACAAAAAAAACCTCCCAAAGCAACCACCAACATCTGAAATACAAACCCAAATAATTTTTGAGCTCCAGGAAAACGCAACATCTATCCTACTCTGGACTAAACAGTAGCTGTTTCATGACAACAGGGTAAATCCTGTAGATATCAGAAAATAACAGTACCATGAGGAGATTTCCCTGATGGCATTGCACTGATTAATTAAAGCCATCCTTCTACACCCTGTAGCTTTCCACACACTGGAGGCTATACTGAAGACAGAGAAAATGACTGCACTGGGGAAGTGTGGAAGTATGAAAGGGCATGCTGCCCTCCAAAGTACTCTGGACTGCTGAAATGGTCTGATGCTGCACAGATTAAAAGCAGTCACTGGGGCTGCTCGTTTGCATAGTTTCCCCAAATCTTCAGTTGGCCCAAGAGCCTAGGAGCTGCAAAGGGAGTATTAAACCCACCTTTGTTCTCCTCCAACATAATACAGTACAGAAGAGCGTAAAGAGCACCAGAGGTGCTTTATTCTTCATATGCCATCTCTGCTAATCTTTTGTTATTGTTAAATTATTGTCATTCTGCCCTCCCTTAATTTGGAGACATTTATGGTAAAGATGAATTTGCAAGTGGATACAAGAATCTGAAAGATGTGTACTTTGAAAAGGAAACACAGCTAGATAAAGTTGAAATGTAGAAGAAAAAAACCCCATTGCTGAAATACATTCATTAGAGAAAAATCTTATTAACTCAACTGCTGGGTGAAATTCTATGGCCTGTGATAGACTTCAGGTCAGAGCAGGTGATCACACAGTATCTCTTTCATGCTTTGGTATTTATTAAATAAGATATTAATTAAAAACAAAATCCACATGTGGAATGTCTTTTCAAATAGATTTGGAGGTTTAATGCTGTTTTAATGCCAACAACACAGCTAACACAAATATGAAAGGAAACATCTTTGAGATTTAGTGCCCCTCTGCTGAAAGGTGAAGCAAATACTTTATCCACATGAATTCATTCTTTGGTTGAGACCAACGAAAACTCAGAGGCATCATTTGAAAAGTATTCTTCTATTACTGTATTAAAATGACAGAAATGAATAGTAGAAGGAACAAAGGTATCTGTATCAAAATATCATAGAAGTTAGACTTTGGTTCAATAAAGTGAGATGAACAAAGCTATTGATTTGCAGACTAACTTAATGAAATACAGTACCTACTAAATTTTATTTTGTCTGTGATAGCAAAATAAATTGGCGGGTATATGAAGAAAAAAGATGGAGTACGTGGTGTTTTCAGACAAACACCTAACCTCTCCAGTTCAGACAACATATTATGAAACCATGTTCTTCTGACCTGGCTATGCTTTACTTCCAAAGTTTGCCAAACATTTCTTTCTACTGCTGTGTTAGGAGAAAAGATTCTTTGTTCCATAAGTATTTATGAAGTCCGTGCATCAACACCTTTATTAATTGTTCAGTAACCACACAAGACCTATTATTTAACCGCCTCATTGGATAAATACTTGCTTTTGTCCCTCTTAAGCCGTGAAAGATGATTTCTGCATTTTTTCCTGGAAGAACAGATTCAACACTTTTTTTTTAAACAGAAGTGTTGGAACACCTAAACTGAGTAAACATGCAGTCATACTTCACTCATATTCTTTTCACTCTTCTCCAGTTGTATGACCAGAATAAACAGGGAAGTGAACAAAAAGCTAATACTTACATGCCAAAACGCTCACCTTTAGGATAAACAAACAAAGCACAGTACAACATATGAAAAAAGGAAAACATCCTGTTGCCACTGACAGTAATCACTGAAAGCATGCACTAAAGGAGACCTTGTATCAATGAAGAATCAAATGAAAGGAAGAGAAAGGACAATGACAGAAATATTATTAAAACCACAAAAAAGGCATATTTTGGAGCAGGGAGAATTCAGGTGATAATGCTCAATATAAACCTAAGGTTTAATTCAACTGAATTCAGGGAGAATTCAAGTGATAAGATTTCGTTTATTTAAACCAGAGGTTTACCTTGACTATCCAAGAAAACTTCTCTATTAAACAGTACAGTATTTTCAGTTCTCCTACCTGCCGCCCCCTGGATGAAAGCCTGGTATCACACATTCCAAATCTGTTCTGAATCGCCTCAACTGAACGGCAGGTTGTCTGTCCCAAATACAGATTGCTTGCTCTCTGATGAGCTGTTTTCAGTGAGCATCCACACATACTCCATATCCTGAGAAATCTGGTCTCTGTGGAAATCAGTAAGGGTTGTTTCTGGGGATAAGGCAACCAGGACCATGCCTGAGCAAATATAATGATGCAACAGCATTCTTAGCATGCTTTTCCTCAGAACCCAAACCTCCTGCACAGTAAGGGATCCAAATTCACAGTCTAGAGATCACACATCTCACGGTACTGTTTAGATGTAACTTGGAGCCAACTCTGGTAAATACTCAAAAATACACCCTAGGAATATGTCATTAGCGTTCTCTCAGAGCACTTCGGATTAGGACTGGAATCCATTGTGTGTCACATTTTCAAAATTACAGTGTCATTTCACATAGTCCGAGACATTTTTGTTCTGCATTTGACAGGTTATTTATGAGGCTATGCTGAAATTAAAGGTCCTTCTCTTTTTCACTCAGGAATTTATTAGATCATGTTGATCTTTTAAATCAGTGTGTTTCAGGCTCTTTAACAAGACCATGATAACAACAGAAGTATTTCTTTCATCCATTTCTATTCAGGGAATTCACTGTGTCTTTGCTCAGCCCTTCCACACAGCCTTTTCAGTTTTCTCTAATGGAATGGCTTTCATGCCCAAATGCAAAATATTCTGACAGACTTCTGGGTGCTGGTAGTGTTTATGCAGTTCTTAGAAGAATAGCTATTCTAGTTGTATTCATTGAACCAGAGGATTCACTTCCTCCTAATTTGCCCTTGGTTTATATGCAGTTCATGGAAAGCAAACCCATGTTATTTCTTTCTCCATCTTGTATTTACCAACACGTAGAAGAGTAAGGGTATCCTTTACTTATGCCAGCTCCTCCTTTTGACGTTTTCCCTCTTTTGAGACAAGTTGAAAGCTTTTGGACCTCTTTGGTGCTGCTTTCCTCATTTTGTAAGTGGCTATCGGTGTTTATGTTTTTGCGGTCACCTCTCATTCTTGGGAGTGAGAGAGGCTCTACAAGTGTCTCCACTCCTGTGTAGAGATGAATTGTACTCTTTTGCACAATATTGGGGCTCCAGCAGCATTCCAAACTCCTATCTGATTCCCTCAGAAGTCCAGGCCAGGCAATAAAACGACGTCAAGCCCTCGCACACTTGCCCGGCCATGTGGCGCAAGGCCACCAGGAGATACCCACACCATTTTTCGGTGAAGATGCTCCTTTCAGCCACGTCCCTGACAGTTGTCGTGGGATGGGTCTCCAGAAGCCTTTTAAAACCAACACGCTGGCGGGCCCTTCCCCCTGACAGGCCCTGTGTGCATCCACGGCCGCCTGCGCATCTCGAGCTGCCCGCTCCCACCTCACGCCCACCCCCACCGCACTCGGGGGCTGTGGTCAGGACTCCTGTACTGAGCCTGCCCCTGCGGTCCCCCAGAGGCCCCTGCCCTCCCGCCTGGGCTCCCCATGAGGTGCGCTGGCCCCGGGCACCACGACGCCATGTCGAGGCCCCGCCCCGCGCGCCGAGAAGGCGCGCGCGCGCTGCAAACACCCCGCCCCCAGCAAGCGCACAGCTCGGCCGGCCGGCGCAGGCAGCTTCGCTGTGCGCATGTGCGCCGAAGGGAGCCTGGCGGGCAACTTCCCTCTTCCGGGCTGGGCCGGTCTAGGCGACGAGGGAGGTTCGTGCTCCATGGTAGGGTGTCGCGCATGCGCGGCCCGGCGCGCTTGGAGCTGTGGCGGCCCGCGGCCAGGTGAGGGGCCCGGCGCGGGGGAGCGGTGGCAGCTGCGGGGCCTGGGGACTCCCGGCCGGCCATCGCCGGGGCTTGCTTCGCTTCGCCTCGCCGGGTGCCGGGGCGGCGGCTCGGGCCCGAAAGCCGGGTGGCTCGGCCCGCCTGCGCGGGAGCCTCTCCTGACGCCGGGCCCGCAGCGAGGGCACCCCGCCCGGGCGGGCAGAGCTCCGGGGCTCCCCGGCGCCCGGGCCCGGCGTCTGGGCGAAGCGCCAGGAAGGCGGTCGGGTGGGGTCAGCTCTCGCCGCTGCGGCGGGAGGGAGGGCCCGGGGCGGCGGGGGTGGCGCCCGGCGCTTCCCGCCGGTGCGCGGCGGAGCACCTGCCTGCCCGGCGGGGGGGGGTGTCGGCCCCGCGGGTGGGCGGGAGGGATCCCACGCCTGCGTCTGGAGAGAGCGGTGCTTCTGGTTTGTTTGTTTTCTGCTGCGGTTTTGTTGTTGTTGTTACCCCTTTGGTTTTTTCCATAAGGGAAGAGAGGAAGGTGTGCCAGCCCTTCCCAAAGCTTCCCTTGATGCAAGGCTAGCAGGTGGCGTGTTCTTGTTTTACTTATTTCTAGCCCTCCTTCCGTTTCTAGTTCTGCTTTTTTGGAGATTAGCATCAATACGTATTGCTTTCATAAAATACATTTGTTTTGGAAAGGGCTAAATAATGAAAGCATGGATCGGGACTTAAACCTCATCTTCCATTCAAGGGACAGCATTTCGGTAGCCCTTATGTAGTTATGTTTGCTCCATACCTGTTAGCAGGACAGCAGGTGTGACTGAACATGGAAAGTAAAAATGATGCAAATAGCTACTGAGGAAGTTCTCTTCTGCTGACTGTTATTCTGTTTTTCTTGTAGTTATGTAGACAGTCACCCTACCATCTCAACACTGTTATCTAACGTACAGAATTCATTACTGGAGGTGCCAAGGCTCGAGATCTTGGAGCAGAATTCTAGCAACCAGTTGTCAGGACCTTAAGAAGAACCTTGCCCTTCGGGGTAGATTATTCCAGAATGTGCTGCAATGTCATTTGAAGTAGCTTGCATGGGGTACTGCTTTAATGGACTGCTGGCCTGACTATGATGCGGACTCCTGAGTTCCTGTGTTTGTAATTTAACTATACAACTCTAACATGAGACGCAACTTCAAAGGGTTGCTTTTTAGGAAAGTAATTTCTACAAATAACATTAGACATAATTTCTGCCCTTCATCCAGTCACTTTTCTGTTAGCCAAACTCTCAGCTACCTTCTTTAAGAGAAGCAGAAACTTTGCTCTGTCTTACTAGAGTCTGCCTACCCTCAGGAAGCAGCTGAAGGTTGTGGCAAGTATGCACTATGGGAGGCCATAATGTAACTATACATTTTTCTGATTTTCATAGCTTTTAGTTTCAGCCTTCCAGTGTTCTCATTCTGGGTGTGGGAAGAAGAGGGCATTTCTAAGGCCATGTCTCCCCTAGGAGTGCATTGCAGGTATAGTATGTGTTGCGCTTTTAGCAGTATGGGTTTATTTAGCCCCAGCATGTTCTTTGATTGCTTACTTTACTTTCTTTTCTCTGATGACTTACTTTACTTGAGAGTGAAACAGACTGTATTAACAAAACCATAGCTTTGCAGGTTCAGCTGTATGTGTTGTATGGGCTTCACCCAGCACAGCTGACCTGTGTTGGGATAGCTAAGTTTTCATAAGATAAATATGGCCTGAGTAACTTCTAGATCTTGAAAAAAATGTTGTTTATGAATAGCCTTTAGATTTGTTTGTTTTGCTCTTTATGGGTGGAGAAACATGTATAATACATTAGTTTTCTATCTAAATTTCATTCTTTGAATGATTTGAGCTATTTCTTTTCTGAAAGTCTCCAATTGGCTCACTGGCAGCGTAAAAAAGAGATATGCAGCTATCCTACTTGACTCAGAGGGGAATTAATTTAATTACAGAAAACAACCACACACTTTTGTATCTGCTATTTTATTTTGGTTACTCACATTGCTGAGCTTCATAGAATTGGGCATTATGTTTTTAGCAGATCAAGAAATCGCGTTCCTGTTTCCCAAGATTTGTGTGTACAGTAAGGAATTACTACCTTGTCTGACAGAATTCATAAGAGAGTTAGAAATTAGTTATGCATTGTGCTCTCCAGATGAATCTGCTGTGTACTTTACTTGGTAATCTTAAGTGTGAAATGATTCTACCTCAGGTAATTCAGTAAGATTGGCCGACCTGTACTCTGACTTGCTCAGCCACTGAAGAAAGGAGTTGAGAGAGACAGGTGAATTCTGCCCCTTCAACTGCATCCATGTCTTCAGTACTTCTGAAATAGCTTTGATTCATTGATGGCATTCACAGCAGTAGTAAAAACTAAAGAATTTTTTTAAAAAGTAAAATATCTGTACTATATTTCTGCTTCAATTAATTTCTTCCTTCCTGTGCCTTAGGTTTTTTGGCATCTTTTAACCTACCCTAAAGGACGCAACAGCCATGCCTAGTATGATACTGTTCTCTTGTACTTGGTGCAGGGGAGTGAAAGATTGGATCATGGAAACTTTCCTGAAACTTAAGAAATCAGCCTAAGGCAGATGGAAAACTTTAGTCCAGAAGATTCTACAAAGTAGTGTGTCCATTGATGCGAAGAATTGTTGCCTATCTTTTCTACTTTGTAATGTGTTATTAAACATGCATAGTTAGAGAGTTTTGCAGGCACTAAACAGTGATTTTATTGGCAAGCCTTTGCTAACGTAAATGTGTGATAAACATAGCAAACGTGAAGCTGGGAACTTAATAGAACTCTACAGATCGCTTAACAGATACAGCAAACCTTTGATAACCAGACTTCCGTAAGGATAAACATGGCCGCCTTTGTTGTCTTATACTGATGAAACTTCCTTTAGATTCAGAGAAAGTCCCTTTTTGTTCTTAACTATTTTTGTAGTTCCTCAATGGAAAAGGTGTTAATGGCTGCCTGCAGCACTATGGAAGCATGGGGACAAAATAGTCATCTATTGAGACCCTCAGGGAACTATTGGGCAAAGTGACGGAAATGAAAAGCTTGAACCATCACTTCAGCATGGCGGCAACTGAATCTGACAAGGACTCCGGATATTCAGGTTTAGAAAACCACTGCATTACCTTTTTTTTTTGTGTTACCTTGCTCAGACTTTGCTTTTATTGGTGATGTTTTGACAAATCTGTCTCTAGCCCTTTACAGTTTGTGTCTCATTACCTGGGAGGACCTTTGTATGCAAGACAGGTTGCATCTGCAATCATCTGATCATCAAACTTTTTTTGGAGTGGAGCTTTATGTAGCTATAAAGTTCATCCTGTGAATTTGAATGGCATGGGAATTTAAAATGTGCCTAATAAAGAAAGAAATGGAAGAATCTCAGACTTCAGAGTCTAGAAGTAGGGAAGACAAAATTACTTTTTGTTCTTTGCAGTGATGAATGAACTGTTGGATTATTCAGTCTAATGTCTCTTACGATTTGACCAGATTGTCAGTAGAGCCTGATAAACCAGAGAGTAATTGTTGTAACATCAGTAAAATGTAGACACAGTGTGCCATTTTAATAATCAACAAAACTGTGCAAAGATGGCCTTGAAAAGAAAAAAAAAATGCTTTTGTGAGAGATACCTGTCTTACTGGGTTTGTAGATGGAAGATTTCAAGGCACAAAATGCCTGCATTACAGACTACAGCTGTGGCAATGCTGGAGCCCGTAGTTCTTTTCTGCACCAGGTTTTAGAGTAGTCTTCATGATAGTGTGCAGTCCCTTAGAGACTAAATACAAAAGAACAAAAAGTAATAGATTTTTTGGGAGATGATAGCTGCATGAGAACTGGCCTGAAATATAAAGCCTTTTATTAAAGGCTATTTGACAGCTGTCACAGCAGGTCTAATTTTATTGATATTCCAGAACTAAACTTTATTGTTCTTTGTGGCTTGGTTGAAAGAAAACAGAATAGTAGCAAACATGCTGCGTGTGAAACAGCTAACAGCTGAATTCTACATCTGGCAGATGGAAGTTCAGAGTGCCTGAGTGCTATGGAGCAGACTGACTCGGAGGACGTGCTGAATGCATTGTGTTGGAACGCAGAAGATGGGCCTTGGCAATGCCCAATGACCACAAGCAGCTCCTTTCCTGCACTTTCTCCTATGGTCGTAATGAAAAATGTGTTAGTTAAGCAGGTAGGGAAGAAATAATATATTGAAAAATGTTTCATGTTCTTCAGTTGGTTTTGGTTTTTTTTTTTTAAATATTTTTCCTTTCAGAAAGATTTTACAAAGTCGTTGCAGTCCAGAAGGTAACTGGTAACTCAAAAAGTCCTATTGTGAAAGCCTCCTTTTGGGTAGCAGCTAGAATCACTAAGATCAAAAAAAGTGTGAAGAGGAGAAGCTCTGCTATGTCTACTAAACCTGTTTGTCTCAAAGGAACACCCCCCCCCCCCCAAATAAAAAGCACCAAAGATAAAAAAAGTGGTTGTTTTTCCTTTTGAAAGCTGATATTCTCTGTTTCATTCAATAAAGACAGTAAAGTAGGATGATAGGTTTTGTTTCCTAGTTCTTAGGTCCTGGAAGTGCTTTATGTGCAATGGGAAACACTAATGCAGAATGTTATAAATGGAAAAATTAAATCTGTATCTGAAGTTAGCTGTGAAGTTTAACAGTTGTTTCTCTTAAATGCATGTGATGGCTCACATTGCAACAATTACATTCCCTATTTATGTCCTCCAATATCTTATGTGTTGTTCCTCCAGCACATCTGTGAGACTCCTAACTTTCACGTTGTAACAGAAGATTTGAGAGCTCCAAGTTCAAAGTATTGCCACTCGCTCATGTTTTCTGAGCAGAGCAAAAGTTCTTCAGCGTTTTTTTTTATTACAATACTTCTGAGAATACAGTGAGAAGGGCAAAAAAGAATATAGATTCTGATTCTTTTTCTACTCAATCTGTTATGACAACAAGCAAAACCTACTAAATTCAAATACTGTCTATCAATGCTAACACATATACAGGTTTCTGTATTTGGCAGATTATGCATTTGTGGGGGAGATTGTTCTGATTTCTGAGCATTGTGCTTTATCTTGACAAACAATTTTATTTTATAGTAATGTTTTTAGTTTTGTGGACAAAATACTGTCTAAGCAAATGCTGAAGTATTTATATAGTAGTGAGTAGGCAAGCTTCACCAAAGGTTTACAGCCTTTGGCCCAGAGCTCAAAAATTAGTCTAATGTTAAACTCCAGGTTGTGTTACAAACAGTTAGGAGAAGTAGCTAGTGTATATATATTAAAAAAAATTATATATATATAAAATATCTATTAAAAAACTGGTAGTGTAGCAAAAAGGTAATTTGGTGAGGAAGAGTTGGAGGTAGATAAAATTACCAAACTCAGTTCTCTTGAGCAGTGCGTCATGACAATTAAGTCTAATTATGTATGGTTAAAGAGAATAATGTTAAATTGAAAAATGTTTACTGCAATAAACAAAAGCAACAAGTCTAGGTCAGAATAATAATGAAGTGTCTCTCTGCCTCCTTCTGTTATGCCTCAGATAGTCATGCTGGTCATCTTTTTAAAATGGTCTTTTCAACGCAGTACTCAGTTGGGCTTGCTGGACCAAAAAAAAAAAAAAAGAAAAAAAGCAGCATCCAGTTACTGCTGTTTATTTGTTCCAGTTTCAGTTTCAATCAGCATCATCCTTCTGTCTTAGAACCACTGTGATCCTGCGCAGTGATGGTTACCTGCTGTCCCAATTTCAGAGTGTAAACAGCTAACAATAACGTTACTAAAAAAAAAAAATCAAGCAGGGATTAATTCTCTGAAACACAGTGCTGCTTGTGGCAAGGTTTCTGTAAGTCTTGTAAAAGTCCTTAATAAGTAGGAAGGCTTTTTAGACAAGTGACTCTGATACATGCAGGATGTTGGCTTTCATTAAAAAAAACAAACCACACCAACCAAAACCCAACACTTTGCAGAATTAGTAAAATAGACATGTCCTTCTCTACTAAAAGTGAGATTTTGGGTAGGAGAACAAGAGCAGAATGCAATGTGAATGGAAAGGAGAAGAAAGTAGGTAACATGGAGAAAAAACAAGAACAAGATAAACAGTTACCACAGTTCTTCTGGCCTCCATGATTTTGGGGTACTGCTGTGCTAGATACTGTACAATTGTGCAGTAAATGACAAGTACTGACCCCAAAACCTTGCTCCTTAAGGCTGTTCTGTGTATGTATAGCTGTGGTATTTATTTACTTCCTCACTCCTAACATCTCCAGATACTTTTCTTTTGAATGTGTTTGTCCTTTCTTCCGTGATAAGGTAGTAGTATTTATTTTTTACAGGTAGTTGTTTTGTACCCCTATTCCATAAGCATCTTGCCCACTGAACCAAAAAAATTCTGTGTCAGAATATGTAATTGAATCTCATCTCCAAGTCTCAGTGTCCTAATCGGTGGGTAATAACCACTTTTGACAAGTTCAAGTGTTTTACTGGAGGAATGGACTTCAGCAAAGCATGTTGGCATTTGCCAGTTTAAATCTTATGAAACTGGGGGAAAGGAGATGGTTTTCAGATGACTCAGTATAGTACCAAAAATAATAAAATGTATTTTTGCTAGCTAAAAAACTGTGCCTTCAGCAGGCTTGCCAGTAGCATTCCAAATCATGAGGAACTGGAAAGGCAGCTGACAGTATATTCGTATAATTGTAGTGGTGATGACTTAGATGTACTAAGAAGTGAAGTTTTGCTTCAGAAAGAAATAGTATCTCTTACTAGGCCATTTGATATGTTTGGAGAAAAGCAGGCATGCTTTTTGGCCAGGAGATCTCATGATCTGTAATAATGTATTGGAGGAGGAAGAGATAGTGTCTTGTAAAAATTTATGTATTCCCCTATATTTCAGAATATGGCTTGTGGGAGGGAGTAGAAACTTGGGCATTTTTCTTGAAATATAATGCTCTTATGGTTTGTCAGTGCGCACTATTTCACCAGAGGTATGGAGTTAAACTGCTCTGAGCTTACAACAGGCTTTTTTCCCTGCCTTGGTTGATATTCAGCATTTTTTTTTCTACTTCATGGATTTAAATTTATTGAAACTGTGTATTGTACTTAAGATTGCAAGACTTACTGAACAGCTGTAGTCTATTTTAAATAACCATTTCAAAAGCTTGCTATAAGAATAGAATTGACAAGATTAGAGTTGCTGCCTTTAAACAAAAGAGGGAGTCTGAATTGTTCCTAAAATGTCTATGCAGTCTTTCTTTGACTCTTTTAAAATGCTTCATAACCGCAATGCTTTAATTATTTTTCAATTTTTCTGTACACTTGTTGTTCGACCCCAAGTCTCGGTTGAACTTTTACATAAGCATTGTACAATATAAGCATGCGCTGTAATCCTCATTTAGGAAACCATGTATAAATTCAGATTGAATTGTTTTTAAATCTATCTACTGTCCCATAGTAAAAGGATTATGGATTACAGCTTTGATTCTAGTGCTATGCTCTGTTGTCAGATAAAGAGAAGGATGAGTTTGATGGCCAACTCTTCAGAATGTATTAATTGGACAGTGTGTATCAAATACGGAGAAATGGTGCAGTCCACCTGTTTTCACTTAAGGTTTTTTGATCCTCTTCTACAATGTTGTTGTAAGACTTCTGTTTTTTCCCCATTTGTGCTTCTCAGGGGAGTTCATCACAGCTCCAGTCTTGGACCGTGCAGCCATCCTTTGAAGTGATTCCAGCTCAGCCACAGCTAGTGTTTCTTCGTCCATCAATCCCACCTCCCATTAACCCTCACCCTGTTGGGAAAAAGAGAAGTGACTCCACTAATTACCTGCCCATCCTGAATTCTTATCCCAAAATAGCACCACAGCCCTGCAAAAGAGATCACTCCTTTGATCTAGAAGAACGTCAGGAAACCACCTGCCATAAACGACTCTGCACAGAAGCACCCAAGATGGAGACTTCTCCTGTATCGAGGAGTACAGGGTTGCCTACTAGTCCTTTTGCCCACATACCAGTTAGCTTTAAGACCCCGCAGGATTCTAGCCAGCAAAATTCTTCAACTCTAGTGACAAGTGGAAAACTGTCAGCTCTTCCTGGTTTTCATCGTGTCTCCAGTGACACTCAGAAAGTGCCGGGTTTGGCTCCCATTTTGCCTTTTGGAACTCTGCAGGCAACAAAGTGCACCCCTCATGACAGCGAGAGTGCAGCACAGACTACGATGCAGTCTGCAGTGTGGAGTCCCCCACTGATACCAGAAGAGATTTGCACTACCCCTGAGCTGCTCTTGCAACAGCAAAGCAAGTGCAGACGCTTTCAGAATACACTTGTTGTGCTACGCAGGTCAGGATTGCTGGAGATCACTTTAAAAACCAAGGAGCTCATTCATCAGAACCAGGTGACTCAGGCCGAGCTGGACCGGCTGAAGCACCAAACACAGCTTTTCATAGAGGCAATAAAGAACAATGCTCCACAGTCATGGGCAGAGCTAGAAGCATCTCTAACAGGATCTGAAAAAGCTGATAACAACCTTGAAGACCCCACTTATCCCAACATGTAGTAAAAAGGTACATAGCTCTTGGTCAAGTTATTTCTGTGCCTCCTATTTCCCGTCTCAAGCTTTTACTTGAGCATTTTCTGAGTCCAAGACTTGCGAAGTGGCGTGCCATTAACAACTTGTCTTCAGAGCCAGTTGTGGGACTAGAATAGCATGGTGGGGTCTTGGCAGAATGGGTACTTACTACTTCAGTGTGACCTTGAACTCCATGCTAACTCAGTGTGTTTCCTTGGACTCAAGAAGCTTGGATGTTCTCTGCTGGCATGTTCCCATTTTGCAGTGGAAAGACAGTCATTTGCAGTATTCTGCAAGCAAGCATCTTCCTAGTCCCATCTTCAGATAGTCCTGAGAATCGGACAGCAGAACAGGCCCCAGTATTGGGCCATCATCAGCTGCAAGTAGATGAAGGGAGTTGGTGTGAGGAGAGGAAACTTACGTTGGTGGGATGGTATCTTTAGGCTGTCGGTGTCCACTGTTACAGCAGTCTTGCTTTGGGGTTTTAACGCATTTGAATTAGTGGAGATCTGCTTGTGCTGAAGCAGCATTCTATATTCATTGCAGTCTTTGGTCAAAGTGATGAGTGTCTTAGGACCCAAGTGAAATTAAGTGTTTTGATGAGTTATACTTTTGATTTTCACTCACTCAACTGTACAGATCAAAATCACAAGGCTTGCATTGGAAGGGTTTGTTCCAAAGCCATATTTATTAATGGCTAACAAGTGTACAAGGCAAGTGGCTTTGGATTTTCTTAGTAGCTAACACATTAAACATTGTTAAAGACTGCAGTGACTTTTTTAAAAACAGTACAAGGAAGATATTCATTTGACAGGATTAATTTGGCAAGACTAGCTGCATATTATTTGTTATGTGTATCTTTAGTTTACAAGCCTAAACTCCTTTTTTTCCTGTGAAATCAGATTGCTAAGTATAAAAAAAAAAAAAGAGGTGGAAGGAAAAGGAGCATAATGGCTTGTGGTGAAACAAGTCCTCCTATCCCTCTTCCCTCTCTTTATTTGGAGAAATCAAATGGGGGTGGGAGGGAGGAGAGAGAGAGATGTCATCTTGGATAATCTCCCTAAAAAAATTTATCTACCTGAGTTTGAACTTAAAAAAAACCCAAAAAACAACCAACAAACCAATTTTTTTCCTCCACTTTAAATTTATATCATTCCTAGCCTGCTTGCCTTGAGATACAACTAACACCACTGTGTGCATAAGATATTAGGCCTTACTAGTAGAGAACCACAGTAGTCATGTTACAAAAGCTGTTCTACAGATGCTTATTTCATTTCAGTTTTTTTAGACACTTAACCATGTCACTCCAAATCTGAAGGGGTTCTTTCAGAGGCAGTCTGTGTGGAGAACTAAGAATGGCTCTGTCTAAGAACGTTAAGGAATCTGGATTGTTTATGGTATGCTCCTTTCTGAGTGACAGTGATTTCACAAAATTGTGCAGTCTAGGTGACTGGTGTTTTGGTGCTTTTATCACTTCTATCATCTGTTTCAGATTCTTAAAAAAGGAAACTTGAAAGTAGAGTGTATGTCTTGCTAATTTGTGACTAGACCTTTTTATTTTCTGATGCCTTTGGGAATGAATATTGCAGGATGCTGTAGAGAGTGCTTTTGTAGTCTTCCTCAAATATGTGCACTAGAGAAATTGTAAGGGGCTTTGTTCTTGTAAGGGGTTTCCCCCTTTTTACACTGATGAAAAGAAATGCCATACAAGCCTCACAAAGAGGAGAAATGTGAGTCATATTTGTACTAGCCATAGGTTTAGAGAGAAATTTCGTGCCAGGATTCGCCCTAGTGAAGCTGTGGCAAACTAGTAGCCATGCCTTTCATGATATCCTGCCCACCTGCTGAAGACTAGCGCAGTACATGGGAATTGATTAAAAGAAAAGTGTTCATAGTCTGAGTTTTGTCATGTATTTTTTTAAATATGCCTGCTATAATTGTGCATACTAGGATGTCTCATAACTCGCAGCACAGCTGTATGGAAATTCAGCCAGCAAACCCAGAAGGCAGGAAGGCAGCATAGTACAGTGTAATAATGTAGGACATGTCTGATCTAGCTCTTTTGAAATCAGTTGTAATATCTGCACTGAATGATATTTGGCAGGATAGATGTGATGGTACCTTAGGCCATTTGTGAAAGAATCCCAAAAGATAAGCTTGTTTCTTCTGAGCTCCTTACAGGAAGGAGAGGAGGCAGTAGGGCGCAGTTCCATTGATCCATTGACCTGTAATAGGCCTAGGGGTGAGGTGAGAGAAAATGCACAGGACATCTTTCCTACTTTTCCTAAAATTCTTTCTCTACCCATCAAATAGAGAGGAGAATTTGAAGTTCAGAATATATATATTTTTAGGAAGTTATTTGTCCTAGAAAACAAGATGATGGACTTGGGCTACCTAGAGATTCAAGGAAGTCAGAAAGAAAAAAGTCCCATCCTAGCTGTTTGAGACAAGAAAAAGTTAAGTCTACCAGTGACCTCTTCTCCATCCTATTTCCACTGCTCTGATAGAGTAAAAGGAAGGAAAAATTGGCCTTGCAGGGTAATACCCTCTGACTTAGGGAGACTCTAGCTGATAGAAATCTCTCATACTCCACATGGTACCGCATGTATTTTTTCCCCTGACAGCACTGAGGGTGGGCTGAAGTGGGTGTGCTTATAGCTGATGGGCCTTTCAGCTGGTATAATTTGTATAAATACATATTCAATAAATCTGTGAATAAAAGTCCAGCAGCTGGTTAGAAATCTCCTACTGGGCGTCAGTCCAGACTTAAATAGTGTAACTAGAAAAATCCAGTCTGGAACTATTATATGTAAATCTGGGGCCCCTTAGGAACCATATCCCTAGATGCATCAAGATTTGCAGTTAACATCTATAAAAAAAAAGATGTTGAAGGCCCCTAGTGATAGACATGTCATCAAGTACCATTCTGTTCAATTTCTCTTAGCTGCCTTTATTCCTGGAAGCCCAGATAAACCTTTAAACAATAAGGGCTTTCCTTTCTTGGCTGCAGTTTAATAAAATAGGTTAGCTTGGAACTGTGTTGAGAAAATTAGTTGACTACGTCAGGACCAGAATAGGTCCTGATTCTGGGCAGAATCTGGAAGTGGTCTGGTAGATTTGAGCAGAAACATTAGCCTCTCTGATTGGAAACCTGTAAGCAAGGAACTTCCAGATTTTTTTCACCTTTGAAGCAGCAAGATTTTGTATTAACAAGTTAGCTGAAGACAGCTGTCCCAATCTAAAAAGTCAAATCAGATGGCCTGCTGGGGCTTCAGTTGCTGCTGACAACTAGCAGGTGGGGTGGCTTGATGTGTTGGACAGACTGCTGTTTTTCTGTTAAGTTTTAATAAATGTTGGTATTTTTGATTACTTTCACTATGTATTTTTGAAATTCTACTGCTCTAGTTGGAATGTACTTTCGAAGTCAGTTGCCAGCTCTGAATACAGTAGCCTAAGAACCCTGTTATAGAAGATGAACTTTTTGCTAAAACTTTACAGAAACAGACTGTGAAATATGAATGAAATAAAGTATATACTTAAAAAGTTTGTGGGTTATTTCAGTGCTGTTAAACTGCAAAGTCTTTGGTTCCAAAGCTTGCATGACATATAGCTCCACAACAGCGAGTTGCCCATGTGGGAAAGTGCAGATCCAAAAGTGATACTATGATGTATCTCTCTGAAGAGTGTCATGTGAGCTTTAACAGAATGTATGAATTAAAGGGTCTCTGGGAGGAGCATGAGTAAAAGTGGGCTGTGCAGAACTCTAAAAATATATTGTCGTGGGTGACCGTTGCCGTAGATCTGTCATGAACAACCTGGAAGGATTTTTCCATCTCTGTACTGTTATCTCTATGTGATGACTGTACATTGTGCTCACCGTCTGTGCAGGGTGAACTACACTGCATCTTAAACCTGTCAGCCGGGTATGTAGAAGTTCTAAATTGTGAACTAAGGATCTTGGCTACTAAAAGAATTACTTGAGTGAAAAATTTTATTCTTTCTCTTGAAGAACATTCTTCAACTAAATATGTATACCAGCTTTTCACTGAAACACATTTTTCAAAATGTAGCCATCTTCACATGGTCTTTTCTTTATTCAAAGATGACTGTTAAAGTGAGAACTAGGCAGTCATGCTCAGAACATCCACCAGCCTTGTGGCATGAGATTCTGACCTAAGGTACAAGGGATTCTGGTTAAAGTTCTTACTTGGCACCGGACAAGGCAATAATTTGCATCTCATTACATCCAAAGAGGAGTGCCATCAATTGAAGTAATTTTATTCCCTGAGACTGGAAACTCAGTGTTTACAAATTTTGTATTTGTAAAAGGTCTGGGTACAATTTAAGCAAGAAATTTTCAGGTGTCTCTCTTCTGGCTAGCTTTTTCTTTACATGGTGAAGTCTATCTGCAGGATGTCAGGCCTGGTCACCTTTATTTCATTGAGGCCAAAGAGGTGAATTGCTTCTTTCAGGTGTGCTGCATCTGTCTTGTTTTTCTTTCTCATGAAACACAAACAGTCTGAAAGCAGCAGTACTCCCTGCAGCCTTGGGCTGAGAAATCTGGCATGCAAAATTTCTGGCATCCACTAGGTTGACTATAGCGTGCTGTTACTGCTTCCATTCTCGCAATTCCTGAGACAGAAATGCGGGGTCCCTGCCTACGCAATTTTACACTCTTGCTGTATCTAGGTGATGCTTCCTTTCAGGCTGCTGTGTAATGCAGCCCTATAGCCCCAACTGTATTGCATGGTCCAGAGCGTGCAAAATGCACAAGACTTCTCTCCCCTTCTTAAATCAGTACCTCCTTTGAGGTACGTCCATGAGACAAACTTAACTGTTCCAGTGTAATCCGATTCAGAAGGCAGAAGGAAACACCACATGTTCAGTCTGCTCTCTTGTAAAGCACAGTTTCCAAGACTTCCTCAAATTCTTGTTTGAACTAAAGGGTGTTTTTAGAGGAAGCATCCTGCTTTGATTTGAAAGCTCCTAGCAATGAAGAATCCACCCGAATTGTTCAAAATGTAATTACTTACTGTTAAAAATGCGCCTCATATTGAGCCTGAATTTGTCATCTTTCAGTATCCAGCTGTCAGATCTTTTCCCTTTTGTTTGCTAAACTGAAGGACATGCTGTGACATTGCTGTTTTCACTGTAGGCATTCACAAACTGAACAAGTCATTCTTCAGCTTTCTTTTTTAAAGTAATTGATTAAGCTCTCAAATCTTTTGAATTCTTTATTCATCTGTGGCACTTTTCTTTGGATCCTTTAAAATTATTTAAATGCATTTTTAATTGGAATGCTAACATTAATAGCAAAACAGGATTGCTAAAAGAGTTGTACAATATCAACCCCCCCTACTGCTACTCTGCCTCATTTTTATAGCAGCCTGGGCCATGGCATTGGCTTGGAAGTCTAAATCATCCTTGGACCTGTTGCTTCTGCGGTTGGTGAACCCCTGTCCTTTAAGTATGTTTCCACACTCCCTTGAATGCAGTTTGCAGCCAGAAAGCAAAACAAACTGTTTTTAATAAGTGACCAATTGCATCTATTAGTTACTTCTGCTTCTATCCCTCGAAACTTTTTCACCTTTAGATTTTAATGGTAATTTTATGTTGTAATAATAGTAAATAATGTTACAGTCAAGAACCAATTTTATACTGTTTTCAAAATAAGTAGAAGATAGTGTTTAATAGATCTCTGTATACAATTCAGAAACCATAGTTGTAATGCATTTCACACCATCCAGTTAATTTTGTATAATTCTGGCTTCAGTCTGTGTCATGTGGCACACTGTTAACTGCCCATTAGAAGTATAAATATTATATCTGCATTGGCTTTGTCCTCAACCAATTTTTAATTTAGTTCATCAAAATAAGGAGTCAATTTTATTTGATAAGATCTATTTCTTATAAACTTCATTAATTTCAATTATTTTTGCTTTCTGTGTCATTGATTAATCAAAAATTATGGGTTATTCCATTATTTTGTCTCAGTTGTCCAGCCTATGTTCATTCAGATCAGTCTGCCTACCTACTGAAATGCTGATGCTGTATTAGTTCTTCCATCCCCTCAGTCGTCTGAAATCTTTCCTAGTGGTCT